TTCCTACGCAGCAACTAAAAACAGCAAAGCTGCGGAGTCCCGGCATCCTAGCTTGGACTAATCTTGTTGCGCCGATTGGTCTCGTGCCAGCCGCTGAAAACCTCAAGGTTTAAGGTTTAAGGTTTAGGCGGACTGAGCCGGAGGCTCGTAAGTCCGGCCTGGCCGTCATGGTCCAGTGCGGATGCACGCCTAGCTAAGCTATGCTTATTTAGGGCCTGGCGGCAGGTGCCGGCCTGGCCGCTGCCCCCCTTGCCCACCCAGTTACCTCGTTTTCTTTTAGGTTTTGAAGACCCTGTTCTCTCTAGTTTAACTGAAAGCGGGAAAAGTGGGATCGCAATTGTGCTGATGATGTTGCTGTACGAGGCGCGCGCGCCCCTCGTACAGGAACATCAGCTGCACAATTGAGACCCCATTTGGGCTTGATTGGGACCAGGAGGGGCCAAAAGCCATCAAAGATGACTTTAGACATGGTTCCTTGTGCAGGCTGACCATGTTCTAGCCCACAGTTGCATTTCACTGGTATTTACAGCCAGAAACACTGCCCACAGCGTGTATTTTGAGCGTTTTGTTGGGGTTTATAGTGCATTTTAAGCGCCCATGAGCATCATGGGGCCTGTTTGGGTCCCCAAATTCCCTCTTGACACCACACATATGAGGCTTCAAGACCCCCCAAAACCCTAGATATGTTGAGGTGGCCAAAAGTGAGAAACGAAGGCCCAATTGTGCTGCTGATGATGCTAGCCCAAAAAACAATGCCCGAACCCTCCGTGGCGTGGGGGGAGGCCTCAAAACGCAGCCAAAAATCACCTTAATTTTTAACCCCCAAAAACACACCTCCCGGGCCTCCAAGGGAGAGGGTCGGCGGAACGGGCCGTCCCCCCATAAGCATAGCTTATCTAGGCGTGCATGCGCACTGGACCATGACGGCCAGGCCGGATAGGGGGTGCGGCACAGACCGCCGACCCCTTTCTGGGAGACCCTGGACGCGTTTTTGGTGGTCAAGGATTAAAGTGCTTTTTGGCTGCGTTTTTGAGGTTTCCCCCCACGCCACGGAGAGTTCGGGGCATGTTTTTTGGGCCAGCATCATAAGCACAATTGGGCCTTCGTTTCTCACTTTTGGCCACCTCAACATATCTGGGGTTTTGGGGGTGTCTTGAAGCCTCATATGTGTGGTGTCAAGAAGGAAACTGCAGGTTCTTCAAATCCTAAAAAAACATCCCAGGTAACAAGAACATGACTTTTTCGTGCACTTCTCTCAATCACGAGTATTAGCAGGGCTTGGGCTTGGCTTTCACTTGAGAGCTGGGTGGGCAAGGGGGGCAGTGGCCAGGCTGGCACCTGCCGCCAGGCCCTAAGTCGAACCCAGTCCCCAGGGCCTCATCCTACCTACCCCTCCGTGCTCGCAGTGGTCGTGGCATGCCGGCGGGTGGAGGCAGCAGCATCGCGGAAAATGATTGGACTTTGAGGTTCTGAGCGGGTTAATAGGTAGGCATGTAGGAGGTAGGTATCGACCAGCGGGGTGTCCCACAGCCTTCCC